AGTGAAATGGCAGAAAACAGGTGTTTTACCATTGTTTCAATGTCTTTGTTTGATTTGAGAAAAAGGTCTCACTGATTTATCTGCTGAGCAAGGTTCATCCCCAAGTTCCAACGCATCCAGAACGGCTCCGCTAAGGAACGGCAGCGATTTTCGCCATCTGCCAATTCCTCCCGGATGTGTTTGTGAGGCGAATTTCGTGGCGGATTTCGGACCGTGGAAATTGCGAGAACTGACAAGACCCCCCAGATTCACAGGCAATTTCTTGAGAACGAGTTGTCTCTATAAAGACAGCTACATAACCATATAAGCAGTAGATTGTTTCCTTCCAGAGGTGGAAATCCATTTCTTGACTTCTTGAATCAACATCTAGTCATCTATGGTGTCAACGGGGTGAAATTCTGTTTGAAAATCTTTATTTGTTCATCCCCGCCTGTTTGCATGGTGTGAAATACAATACGCCCGAAACAGTGTAGTGTTTTATTTTGAAAAGTTGCTGGATGCTTTATTTTGTGTCTGTGCTCAACTTCCTTTCCAACATGGGCTAACCTGTGGTGAACTTATGCAGCATGCTGTGGCGTCCAGAAAAAAGTAGAACTCATATCATGTCCTGGGTTTACTTCCAGTTAGACTTGCCTGGAAAACCCTCAGAGCATGCTATCTAGGTGCTCAAAGTGACCCCTCTCACTGTGGTGGGGTAGAAGACTCTTCTCTGAACTCCTTCCAGATAACCCAGTTTCAACTTAATCGCCAAGACCCTGTCCAAAAATAACTCGATATGCCCATTTCAGATTCCCGATAAAGGCCTGCATGTCTTGTCCTCAAAGTCTGTTTTACTGGGACCGTCTGTAGCATACTTGATGAGCACAACAGAAAAGAGGACTCATAAATTAAATGCCAAGACATGCTCTATTTTGGTTTTTATCAAGGCCACCGGTGCTGAGATATCGAGTGTGTTTGTTTGACTTTGACAGCGTTTACCAGGACACACACAGAGGAGAAGACTCAGCATTAATTAGCAGGCTTAATGACTCAAATGAGGAGCTATCAGAAGAAAAGTAAGACATCCAAAATATCCAAAGGCGCCAAGCAGGGGACAAGAGTCTAACTCTTTCAGTGGGTCTCAGCAGTTATATAAAACACATTAAAGTCAAGGTAAAAGGTAGAAAATGTATCATGCAGGGACTTTGTGTTCAATTATTCAGAGCTCAAAGAACTATCATGGAGGATCAGGATGGATCGCCAAACTAGAGCTGTTGGTGACGACTTATGACAAACAGCAGTGGATCAATCCCCTGATGAAACGTCTCTATCGAGGTTTGAAAGGCTGAATTTGACTCACTGGTGAAGGCATAAATTCAGCTCTTTGTAAAATCCATTTTTGTCCTCCCTCTCTTCCAGATTCTGTTTGTGCTTACTCACAGAAATCTTTAAACTGCTTCAGGAGTTGCTTTTCCCCCAGGCAAACTCAAACAGATCCATATTTCGGCCTTGTGAAGACTGTGTTGAACCAGGATCTTCATTATTATAAAGAACTAGTTTAAAGGTTATTTAATGTGGATTCATTTATTCTACATTCAAGTGAAAGAACATTCTGGAAAAGGGTCCAAACAACTTTCTTTGTCTGTGGTTTCCTTTCGTCTATATTACTTTGAATACCCTCTAAAGAGCAGGGGTGGGCAATTAATTTTTACATGGTGCCACATGAGAAACCTGAACTGTGTTGAAGGGCTGAACCAACAGTAAATTCAACCTCAAATCTGGGGGGGCAACATACAATTATTGGTTAAAAACAAGCCCAAAAAAGCGCATCCGCGACTCACGAGTTTTACAAGCAACTTCCAAGAGAAAACTAGCCTGAAGTCTTTTATAATAAGCAGATCTGGCAACTATAAGGTGTCTGCGTATATTTTGCCAATGTTTAAGCTTTTTTCTGTTCATGAATGCAGATCTAGGATGTACATACGTGGGTCCAAACGGAAATAAGACAATAGCTAGGTTTTCAAAATAAAAGAAACACTCTTGTTTAGCATGTTGATGATTTGATTGAGGGACCTCACGAAGGGCTGGGCAGGGACATCCAAAGGGCCGGATGTAGCCCTCGGGCCGTAAAATGCCCAGGTCTGCTTTAAAGGAACAGTCCCACATTTTTTTCAGATAAACTTTTACCACAGTCAGACTTCTTCTGTCAGATATTTAAGTTTTAATAGTTTTTTATTTTTATTTTTTAAGAATTGGCCAGAAAATGAAACAATTTATCTATTTAAAAACCATACAATTCCTTTCTTTTCTTTTAATGTATTGTTTGAATTTATTTTGTTGTAATATACTTTATGTTCATCAAGTTCCTAAATCAAAATCAAAGCTTAATCAAATTGTACTGGATTGATAGCATAGTGAGCGTTTAATTTGTTGTTTTTTTCCTGATTAAAAATCCCTGATTTTGTCACATCCCTGTAATCTGAAACCACACCTGGACCCTTTTGAACAGCAGCAGTGTTTTGGTATTATGTATTCTTGCTGATCATTCCAAGAAATCGTCAGTAGGAGGTCAGTGGTAATTATTATGAACCTTTTCCAAACAGCGTATTCGATTAAAAGTCCAAGTCAGATAAACTCACAAATAAAGAGAACAAACAAAAACCCAGAACCCTCTGAAGATAACTCCCGTCTTCCTCAGATAAACCTAATTCAGCTGTTTTCTCTCAAGGTCACACTAAGTGCACGGATCTGTGCTCCAAAGCCATTACTCAGGATCTTTCCGGAGGAACTGCAGCACAAATTTTGTCACAAAGGAATAGAGAGAGGGTGGCCAAGAACCAGAGCCAATATCAGTAATGCATTCTCCTCCCAACTCATTGCTGACTGTGTGAGCCTGGAACGGAGACCGTGAGGGAGTCCATGTACTTTGACTCATTCTGGTCACCGACACTTCTGCCAGTTTTAACAAAAACACAGATATAAACGTTTGAATGAATGAGTCATTTGCCTGATTGTCAGAGAGAAGTAGATTTGTTTGGCGTTAGTTTGAATGAATCAGAAATCTGGAGCCTACAGTCAAAAAGTGACGTGCTGCAAGTTTGGTCCAAACTGAGAGAATAAACTGGAAAGAAAAATGATCCGTTAGTTTAACAATTTCTGAGAGTAGAGTGATTGCTTTTTCATTTCTAGCAACTTCAGGCATGTTTGACTTTGTTTAATTTACATTTCATTGGCGCAGGAATACATTTTCTATATACAAAGGGGTCTAGGAGTGGCCAAGACACGATATGAATGAGACCCATTTCCCCTAAGCCCCAAGCAGCCACAATGACATATGGTTTGAAGTTAATTCACAATTATATTTATTTACAAAATTATAATCACGAACAACAATGAAGGAACCAGTTTAAATTAACTTCAGGGTGAATCAAGGCCTAAAAATAACAAACAAGCTATTTTGACTGAGAGGCAAAGCAACTCCCTAACTAACTCACCTAACTAATTAACTAACTAACTAACTAACTAACTAACAAAACATGAGAAAATTATATCAAATAAACGTTAGATTTCGGTGTAGGCTTTGTAGGGGTACACCGAAATCTAACAAGTACTACGAACAAAAGGCTTCACGGTCAGATGACGTTGTCCCTCCACACCCAGCCTATGATCTGCCGAGCGGGACACTGAACATCCAATCAGCCAATGAGGTTTTGGTAATTCTACTTAAAGAGAGAGGGAGGGAACCACATACATAAGAGCACATCAAAACACCGGCACTACTTAATTAATCTTACAACCACAGTCGTAACAAAAAGACATAAAGGCGACAGAGTATGAGAGGGAGAATATCAGAATAAAAGAAATTAGAGACAGAGATAGGAGTTCAAAGGATGAGAGAAGAGTGGGGAATAGAGGAAAAGAAGGGTAACAAGTGAAGACAAGGTGAGGTAAAAGTTGATAGTTCTGCATTGGACCAAATCAGTGATAACGCCTTAAAAATGTAACTACTCAAAGCTTACCACAAACCCTGTGATTGGTCTGCTTGGCAGCGTATGTTGCTATGTCACTGCCATCCCCTATCCACTTCTTCAGTGTCTGTGTCCTCCGACGTCTCCCATCATGTCTTCTAATACAGTAAGTGAAGACCAACAGCTGCACATTTATCAGTCATAAAGGTTTTCTTCACACAATAAAAAAGACACATAAAGAAAGTATAAGATGCAGAAGTCCCAAACAAGAAAAAGAAAAACAGAAGAAAACAAGGTGATGAATCAAAAAGTTTGTAAAAAAAAAAAAAGACTAAAAAAAGACAAAAGTAGTAAAAGAAGATGTAAAATAAGAAAAAAAAGGTCAGAGGAAGTTCAAAAAGATTCAAAGATGGATAAAAAAGTACTGAAACAAGAAGTTTTAATGAAATGTCAGTCCATGAAAAATAATTAAAGAAACAATAAATCACTGAATTCGAGTCGACAGTTAAAACTGGACATAGAAATAGATGAGCTGAAATTTAAGAGACAAAGATTCCTGTCAAAAGTACTTCTGAAAGTCACGGTTGAGTCAAAGTTCACCTTCTTGTGTCTTTTTTTCTTCTTCTATTGTTCTGTTTCTGAATATTCAGATGCAGACCTGAATGTGTCCTAAAGGAGGCCAGACGTAGGAAGCGAGTGACGGCGCCAGCAGTTATAAAGATGACTGATGTATGTAGCAGATGGAGTGTTTTACGACCTGTACCGCCACTCCATTTAACTCTGTATAAAATTGATAGCCATCCATAATTGACCTCTGAAGCCCCTACAGTACTCAAAGCTGTTCCCCCACTTTCAGGAAAGAAGGGAGTTCTTTCTTTCTTTTCCACACGGAGGGAGGGCGAGGGCGTTTGATTTATGTGACTCGGCAGCAGGTTGGCGTTTCGACATCACAGGCTTTTGATGGCTTTCTCTGACTGAGGAGAGGGAGGGAGAAGACAGGAGGGCGAACAAATGAGGAGAGTAGATGAGATAGAGGTAGGAGACAAAGAAAGAAGAGGAGGAGGAGCGTGGGACCAGAAGGATGGAGAGAAGAAGAAATGAGGCGAAGGGTGGAGGAGGGAAAAAAAACAACAAGAGGTGAGCGAGAAAATAAATGAGGGCAAGAAAAACTAAGGGAAAGTGAAGGGAAGGAGAAGTTTGTAGAAACTGAGTGGATTCACAGCCACGAAAGAGCATCTGTCAGCATGCTAGCTTGCCCAAGGCCACAATAAGCCGGGATAATAGATTCTGTCATCTAGAACTGCATATTGACAACCTGCAGTTCATTTTGGACCTGCTTTGTGGCTGTCAAATGAAACTACTCATGCTCTGTGAATAATGTGCCCCCATAGAGGCTCGTACTCAGCTTACTGTTGAGGAACATGCAGGGACCACCAAACACCTGCTACGTGTTTGTCAGTTTACGATAACTCAGATTCAATGCTGTAATCACTGTGTGGCCTTAAGCTCGACAGTTGCTTACTAGAGTATTCTTGTTTTGTCAGGTGTAATTGTTTTAAGTTTGTACTAAATCCCATAAATCTCCTATTTGATCTTCAACCACATGGATGAAACCATAGACTGTATATACTATGGACAACTTGGTTTTGCCTTCTGCTAGTATACGAATTTAAAGCCGAAAAGCTCTCAGTTTTTCGGCGTTTTTCCTCCACTTCCTGAAACCAACATTGCGCAGTAGCATTGTGCGCATTCAGAGGGGGAGTCGCCGAGAGTGGCCGTGATGACGCTCGGCTCAAACAGCGTATCCCCTGGGTGAGCTATGCAATCTTTATACGCCCATAGGCTGTATCAAGTGTCAATCATAGAAAACATGAACCCCCTTATAACTTTTAAAAATTGAACTGCACAGAAAAAAGATAATTTGAGCACAAACAAGTCTAACAGTAACCTAAATGTCAACATTGCAAGCATGGGGGAGAAAAATGTATATCTGTGTAATTAATTTCTGAAGTTTGTCCACAGCCCCACAAAGATGGCCAGCAGAGGCAGGATTTATGACCTATACTGCAGCCCGTCACCAGGGTGTGCTGTTCTCGGAGTGGCTTCACTCAGCGAGGAGGCAGACGGCGTCCATTCTATATACAGTCGATGGATGAAACACTTTGCATCACTACGCAAGTTTCAGTGGAGAGGAAAATCTTACGTTAACAGGCAGAAACCTCAAGCAGGACCAGACTCATGTTAGACAGTCATCTGCTGAGACATGCATTGGGTCTAGAGAGAAGAGAGAAGGACATTAACAATACAATACAATATAAGAACTTTATTTATCCCTGAAAGAAAATTCATTTCCCTGAATTTCTCTTTGGGGATAAATGAAGTTCTTGTTATGTATTGTTATTGTTAAGTTGATATACTGCATTAGTCCAACTAGAACTGGACTTTAAAGACACTTTTAAACAGTGTGACTGAAATTGCACCACATCAAACCCCTCTCAGCCAGATGAACATACCTGGATAATGCTGTTGAGGATTGATTTTCTCACTCATGCATACACTTTCATCGACCGAAACTTGGAAGTGTACCCTTTCCAAATGGTAAAGAGTGAAACCTTCAATAACACGATAACTCTTCTGAAGTTTCTCTATGAGCTGATTTTAAAGCATCTTTGTCCCTCTCTTTCCGTATTTTATGCATTGTGTTAAATTTAACGCCTGATTGAAGCTGCTCTGCTACATGATACATGAACACTGTCCCAGCTGTCTTGTGCATCATTTTACACATTTTCAATTTTCAGCCTGACATGTACTGCATGTCTCGAGGCCTTAGTGCCATGAAAACAAATAGGAAATCAATGTTTGCCTTCCCTGCTTGTCTTTCCACTTAACAGCTGTTTGTACTGTATTGATGAAGTCTCTTGGCAGGAGTCTTGGAGGCTGGACCAATTTTAGCTTCATCTCTGTGTTTACCAACTCTTTAGTTCACCTTTGACCAGTGCAGTTATAGACTGTGGATATGGTGTACCCAGTTAAAAGCACAGGTCATGTGGAAATGATATGTCGATGTGTTTAACAAAGCTAGGACTTAAGATCAATTATTTTGTCTTCTTTACTGAAAACTTCTCAGTGGTTTCAAACACATTCGCTCTTCTCTAGATTAAGAGCTTGAGGACAGCCTGGATGCTCCAGTCAAAGACAAAAGCAAATTAAAAGACCTCTGAGAGACTCTGATCCTCCAGTTCAGTGAATTTTATTCCCTGAAGTCCTCTCGTGCTCAAATCCACTCTCTACTATGCAGCACTTTGGTTTAAAGCATCCATAAAGCCGCAGCTCTTATGTTAGTTTATCATCTTCAACATAAAAACGCTGTTGACTTTATCCCTCTGAAGCTAGCTGCTGTAGTTAAACATCAAGTTTGACACAGCAGCAGCAACCAACATATTGCTTTGCTGGAGGCTAATTTATAATGAGAAGAAACTGGTGAAACTCTGTGCAGAGCGATGACAGATTCAGACTACTTTATTACCGTGTCGACAACACAAAGCAGATTTAAAATTAATGTCTGCTGGTTGACGGCAAAACAAACACCATGCACATACTGCCAAAGTGCATATTTAATTTCAAGTGGTGAATTCCAAGCTATTTAAATGCATCACTAAAACCTATTTATTGCCCATAACTCTGATAGTAAAAAGCTGGACTGTTGCTCTGCAGTGAGGGGTCAGATTCTGGTTCTTTCAAGCCTGAGGGTCAGATTCTGGTTCCCAGCCAAGGTGTTCATTCAGAGTTTAAGCAGGGCTGGCAGGGAGGAAGGAGGGAGTCTGTGCACACCTTTGTAGTTTCCTGCTGGACAGTTGAACAGATGGAGGAAGGGTTGCTTCCTAACAATCTCGGACACAGTGTGACACTTTTCTCCTGTGCTGCTGTCCTACTGAGTCGCAGTGTAAACAAGGACATGCAAACTCAAGACACTGAGTTAAAAGTGTGCCATGGATCTATGGGTGTATGCAAAGTTTTCATCTACTGTGGGAAGTTAAAGTTAGGGTTGGTAATCGCGGCAAACTAGTATGGATTTGAATGTTGCATCTCCTCAGGACTTTGTATATCCCCTACCCCCTCCCCTTGGAGCTCCTCCAAAACAACGCCCCTGCTTACATGCACGAGCGCTGCTGTCTACTGATTAAAAACCACAGACTCAAAACTTTGGGACTTTAGATTGGGAAGTCTTTGCACAGCAGGGACAAAGAAGGTAACTTCAGCATCAGGATGACCACATAACTAGCAACATGCCTAAATACTTGAGATTAAAAATCGCCCTGAAACAAACCCTCAACGTTCCTTTCCAACAAAAAATGAGTGACTATTACCTCTTTCAGTTCTCTCCATCGCTGAAAGCTGTCCCGATGTTGACTTTCATTTTCCCCCTTGCTTTCTCCGAACTCTGTCTTGCTTTGGCCTTCTCTGCTTCCGTCATTCTTTTTTTTTCTTGCTCTTTTTTGCAGGAGGAGCCGTCACTTTTAATGTGGGTATAGGTAGATTCTCTGCCATTCTCCAGCATAGATGTATCCCTGTCAGCTCGGCTATGCACATTAAACCAGGGCCAGTGTACACTCAGGAGGGGAGCACGGGATTTGATTGGTTTAAAAATGACGGACCCACACGGTGTGATTGGTTGGTGTTTTCCCAGTTTTACTCCTTCTGTAGATAGTGGCTATGTCTCTCTCTGTTTTAAAAACACATCATGTATTGATTGCCATTGGAACATAAAGATCATTTTAACCAGAATAACAAAAAGTGTATCTAAATCAGATTACCAACTCTATCTTTAGTGTTTGAGTTTTGTGGATTTTAAGATTTCCTGCTTTAGTGTGTGCTCATAGTGAACCAGAATACAACAAGAAAATCAACAAATCCATACAGTCAGACTGACCTGTAACTCTATGCAGATGACAAAGCTGTGAACAACATCGTGTCATCTGCATAGAGTTATAGGTCGGTCCAATTATCCACTTTTTAAAAAACTCGACTGCATGTTTTGTAGCCAGTTACAAATATTTTCAAAAACAGTCTTCCTCTGCGTCCACAAGTTAACTGAGGTTTAGGTCACTGAAATCATTTGTTCCCAAACACCATCCAAGGTGACGATTTATGAAAATGTTGCTTTTATATGGACGGCAGTGATGAATAAATATGTCATACTCAACCCCTTTTTATTCACTGCTTTGTACACAGAATGAGAAATGCTGTTTCCATTTGCAGCTGTTTAAGAAAATACTGGACATGCACTCGAACAGTGTTAGACCCTGACATGCAGACCATTCACACGTTATTATCACCTGGTATGCTTATGTGAGTGTTTCCAAACGTGTCTGCAGTTGTTGTGCTGAAAGAAAATATTCAAAAACACCACGGGCTGAACGTGACTTTCCCTTTATGTATATCACCCTGAATACTGCACTGTAAAGATATACAGATAAACAGTTCATTTAGCATATGCCCACATTTTACAACAAAACTTGCAAAACAGGAGATGAACATACTCTGCTCGTCCTGTTTTTCGCCTGCAGTCACAGCCACTCTGGAAATCTCATCGAGCAGGTGGATATTTATCTGACTGCTAATAAGCCTGACATCCTGCAGCTGTGCCTCTGTCATGGCTGAACTGCTCTGGCTCTCCACCAGCACCAGAACTGGAACTGCACCGAGGTCTCTGTAACTTGTGAAATGTTCACTTTTTATTTGAATAAAAAGTTCAGAACTGTTTTGGATATTTGAAAGTAGCATTGTTATGCAAACATTTTTATACAGTTACAGGATTTTTTTTCGTTTTATGTTTCGCATTTAGAACAACTCACTAAACAAGACAAAAACTGGAATAATAGTTATAATAGTTATAATAATAAGTACCTAACTCTTAATTTGGTTTTCATCAACTCAGCTTAGTTGCAGCACCACATCTTATGGAGCGCTCACACCAAACGCAAGTAAAATCACTTATCTCTTAATTCGCGTCTACACGCTAGAATGAATGGTATTTACTTGCTTAATTCATGCATCAACAGTAATTTAAATGGTAATCCCTGCCAATTCAACCAGCGGGATCAAGTGATAGACAAGGTTTTTTACAATTTACCAGGTAATCCGACCTCCTCACTCACTTGCCTTAAGGCGAGCTCCTCTTTATTCCGGTTTCGGTAATTGAAAGAAAAGGTAGCGTATAAATCGGGGCACCTACACACCGACTCAATCAGTTTGTCCTCCATTTTAAATACCAGTGAACAACCGTCCATTTTGTCCCCCGGCAACCTTTGTGCTGATTAGTTATAATATATCCTTTCAAGTTAAGATTTGCGTCGTTCGCACCATCAGAGTCGTGGGAGTGTCTAATCATGTCTTTACATTGACTCAATATGTGATTCATTCCACGGATGATTTTACTCATTGATGAATGATTTGTGTGGAGACAGTTAAGGTTTTAAACTGTTTTCAAAACCATAAAATAGAAGTGTTTTGAGATAAAAGTATGGTTTGGCACAGTCCTAACTTCAGGGAGTAAACCTTTACAACAAACGACACAGATATTTTAAATATTCAATTATTGTCCCACTTACACATTGTAAAACATAACAAAAGCTGTTGAATAAAACTAGTTTTTCCCATGGTGTTTGGTGTCATCAGCTTTGTTTGAAGAGACCCAACATAACTCCTCCTTTAAAATAACGACCTGCGGGTCATCAATTGTTTGTTCTCTAAGGTCTATTCCTCATGTTAATGCTTTCCTGTTTTCTTATTCCCATATGCTAAAAAGGAAAGAGTTCACAATGAGGAAAACTCAATAGACTGATATGAATCTACAGGATGTCAATACCCTGATTCCATCAAAGTCCTGGTATGTTGAAGAGTCCATTAAGATGGACAAAGACTTCATCCTCATCCTAAAAAAACAACTGATTGCCATGATTGAGAGGAAGTACTTTAACCTGATTCATCAATACTGTGGCAGCTCGTCTTTGAAAGAGCTGGAAGAGTTTCCTAAGAGGACATTTTCCTTCTGGACGCCAGTGACAGCTGACCTGCTGTTGGCTGTGTTGTGTCCCATCTCCAAGGAAACCTGTCTTCTGGCAAAGACTTATCACTTTGAATCAAGTATTAAGATTTTAACTATGATATTTTTGGTTCTGAATTAGTCAACGCACCCATTCACTATTCACACGGCTCTAAGCGTGCTGATCAGAGAACAGGATGTTATGTTCCAAGGGGTTATAAATGATGTAAGCAAGCAAACCAGAGGACGAAACCACCTGAATATGAGAGGGCAAATATCTTGTAAAGGTTTGCATAACTTGTAATTCATATAATTTACATTTTAATGGTTAGATGCACAGCTTAACACGTGAGCAGCTCCCTGCTTTCTGTCTTTTTTGTGTATTCCTATTGGTCCACTCACCACTTTCTGGATGAAACCATCAACAAAACAACAATCAGTTTGGATTGCTGTGAAAAGAAGGGTCTTCTACGACTAATGTTATCAATCATTGAAGGTTATAGCATTAGTGAATGTTGGTGCACTTTGTTTCAAGGAACAGGTAGAAAATAAAACTGAAAAGCAGAAGAAAGGCGGTTGAGTTGAAACAAAGAGACGCCTAAATACCCCTGAAAGGGTAAAGAGTCATCTCTCACACAAAGGCCCGACACTTTTAATGTGTTGAGACTTTTTGGAGGTAAAGTTTTATTCTTTAACCTTTAAAGGGTTCAGTGAATCCACCTTTCAGCTCTGTGTTTATTTTGTCAAAGTTTTATGATGGCTGTCCCATAAAAATAGTTTTTTCGAAGGTGCCTTACCTGACTTCAAAGTTCAGAGATTTGTATTTTATTATATATTTATGTTTAAATTAAATTTATTTAACTTTACTTAATATTTTTGAAAGCCCATTACTGGAGTGGACTGTTAGTAACCAGCCTTCTTTAGATCTTTCATTGATTGTAGGGTCTGGGAATTCCTCTATCATGAGTATTTACACTGAGAGTATTGAAATGAGTTTTTCTCAGGCAGCAGTCGAGTTTCTATCATTATTATACTAAAGAAGTTAAAGCCTAAGTTGAAGCACCCATTAAGTTTCAGAAGGGTTTCTTATCCTTAATAATGACTGGGTTTAAAAATTAAAGCTCCTGTGAGGAACTTTCTGATTTGGCCACCTTTGGCGCCACCCTGTGGACAAAGCAGTATTTACTTATTTTGTCCTCTACATGCTTGAGTTGTGTCTTCTGTCAATAATCCTGCTGACTATTGACTGTCAAATGTAACATTTACTGTAATTACACACACACACACACACTGACTTAAGGAACTAAAAATTACACATTGAAAATCATCAGATATGTTGCTGATAGCTGTGTTTGCTTCAGTATATCATGAAAAGGCATCAGTATGAATCTTAGTTTTTTCAGTAACATCAAAAAAAACTTCTTCAGGTTGATGACCCATCTACTCTTAGTGGGTCCACAGCTGATTTTGTTTTAAGTAGACCACAAACAACATATACCTTTAATTTTTCAAAAGCTGCACAGACCATCACACACAAACACACACACACACCTCCTACTGTGTTAAAACATTTATTGGGTGTGTATTCTCAAACGCCACACAACACCTATAAACACAAAACTGCTTTGTCAGCCGGCTCTTGTCAGTTTCATGCACAGATTTAGCAGCTGCAGTGTAAAAGTTCCTGTGCCCTTTGAATGTGACACAGTTCGGCTGTCAGCTGGAGCTTGCCGAGAGTGTAACATTCAATGTTTATTTAATGGAGTTGGAGAAGAGAGTAAACTTCGTCCTCTGCCTTTACATAGAGGGCAAGCCTCTGAATAAGCCTGATGAGAGGAGAGTCTGCTGGCACACAGACTTCAGACCTGTAGGTATAAAGAACTGGCCTCACTTGAGAGAAAGTTATTGTTCTTGTCTGTTAGGATTAAGATAAATGGAGGCACAGAAGGAGTGGGAAACAGGGGTCATGAGGAGGCGCTTTGTAAAGGCTGGAGTAATCCCTCGTTGAACTAACTGATGTTGGTCTTTTACTGGATGCACAGATGGAAAACAGCTGTTGTCTCAAACATCACAGCCACTCAGAGTTAAAGTTTAGCTGGCCTTCAGAGTTTCTCAACACATTTGCATTTTGTTTTGCATAAAAGGTTGGGTTTATTGGTGTGGTTGAAGCTCATCAGCTTGACTCCTGATTGGCTGCTGGTTTGTTCCACTTGAAGATGGACACAGTGCAGGTTAGCACACACACACACACACACACACACACACACACACACACACACACACACACGTTTCAGATTGTGTTGATTGAACATGTAACATATATACTATTTTTAGTCTGGGGGGATTAGTTTTCACAGACTGAAGGAAAGATCACTCTGAACACCAAAGGTTAATCCAGCAAGATAATCTTAACAACCATCCTATAATCTGGCCCTTTCTAAATTAATCAAATGGCCCAATATAAAGAGAATATGGTCCAAAATCAATGCAATTATCTTCAGGGTTTAGTGATCTATAGGGTCGACAATTTTGATGCTGTTGAAAAAAAAAGGGTTTGTGTGCATCATGTTACCATTGTGTTGATAATATCAGCTTTAAAAACTGTTGCGACTTCCTGTAAAATCCACTCTCTTTGTGAGACCGACCGCTCTTTAGAAACAAACTGTGATTCTGCAACATTCAGAGACTTTTCCTTCTCTCAACAAGCCCCCTTTCAGCTGGTTGCTCTTGGGATTTCCAGCTTGACCTGTAATGTATTAAAACAATTGACAAACAGGATGTAATGTCCTTTCTTTGTCTGTTGAGGTTTTGTCTACTACCTGGCTTCTCAACAACACATTTGTGCTGTTCATCTTCCAGCTCAAAGCCTGTTGTGCCAACACTGGAGCTTACGCAGAACACTTAAGCCGGTTTCCGTCCAATAGAAGAGGAGAAAATTGATCCCCAGCTTCATTATAAAGGCATAAAAATTTCAGCTTTGTGCGATTTCAGTTGGACTAATGTGTTAACATAGTTTTTGAAATTCCACTTTTCGTTTGTATTTCTGTTGAAATTTTACTTTAAAAGATCAAGAAAATATCAGGGTGTTCATCACCTTCCTGCCTCACCTCAAACATTGAGGTCCTGCTCATATATTCCAGGCTCGGCTAGTTCCTAATACCAAAAAAAAAATGTGTTGCTCAGGTAAATGTGTGAGGACATAACACACTCGCGCTCAGGTACTGCATCAAGTGGCACCTGTATCAAAAATTCAAGCCCTTTTGTGTACAAGAGAAGACGTCCTTATCTGGTTGTTGCAGCTCCTGAAAAACCAAGTCTGTAAAGTTTGAAATAACATTACTCACCTCAAGGCAAGTTCATAAAACTTTTACCTTTGCTGTGACAAACATCCAAAGCGTGGAAGTTTTTTTGCACCTCCCAAAAGTTGACTGGCTTACAAATTGAATTTATTTTTCTTTCTGAAACTTTTTCAGAGTTTCTTCTGACATTTATTTTGCATCCGTTACCCTTTTGTACATTAAATGTTAATCAATAATCAGACTCTGAGTCCCTGAGTCAGCAAAAAGTCGATCCTTACAAAATTTCAGTATCTCTCAAAGAGGCCCTGAGTTCACCCAAATCTGTTTAAATCCGCAGGTCTCTCTGTGATGTTTGATCTTCAGTTTGTCTTAATATATTTATACCAAGAGCAGCAAAAGTCAGACAGACTGAAAAAAGCACTTCAAAGTGTGACTGTGGAGGAGTAAAATGAAGTTTTCACACTGAATGAAGAGGCAGGTGTGCAGGGGACAAACAGATCTGAGGCGAGTCAAGTGGAGCTGAAGAGAGAAAACGTTCATGAATTTGATGTGGAGATAACAGGATGAGCTGACACTTCGGTGACTGCTGCCGCCGCCGCTTCTGCTGCTGACTGCGAGAGTGAACAAATTTAATGAATAGAGGAAGAGACTTTTTACTTGGCTAGACTCCATTTTGTCAACACAATTGTTTTTAGCAAATACAGCAGAGCCCAGAGGAAGCTGTCTGGGCTGCTTTCATTTATTTTCTTATGGCAGGGACCGACGACACGGCGATATATACTCATATATAACCGTCTCTGCACCGTTCTGCTAATGGAAACTGGAAAATAAGAAGGATATAAGAAGCTACTTCGTTGGCATGTTTTTCCATTTAAAATCACTTTATGAACTTTAAGTGAGCGTGGTTTAATGTTATTTTGCAAGCACTGGCAGTAAAACTGGTGTCACAGGATTGGCTCTTGTATTCGACAAAAGCGTAGACCGACAAAAGCGTAGACTTATTTATGGACCAATCATTGTGCACCTACATAATTCTACGCCCCCCTTGTACAGTTCTAATTTGGAGCAGGGACTAGAAAGTTCCCATTAACAGGGTTCTCAGAACTAAAATAGTACTTAGTTCTTATAAAAGAGAGTGTTTCCTGTAGTTCCTGGAGAAGAAAAAAAGGTCTTGCAGTGTGAAAAACATAATAACTTGATCTAACGCCCAGCCAGAACCGATTATTCAAGCATTAAAAACAAGTTGTTGTTGGTAGTATTTTTATTTTTAAACCATAAAGACACATTAGGCCTTTTTTAAAGCTCCTGTGAAAAACTTTGTGTTAAAAATGGTACCAGTTTTTGACAAAGCAGTCCACATGTATAAGTAGTTTTTCCGTCTAAACATTAAATATTTATCATGGGAGCTTTAATCCGTTTTATAACCAGCTAAAAAAAATTCTCAGTTGAGCACTTAATATTCTGCATATTCTGAATCTGGCCTTAATCATATTTGTATATTCTTTAATACCATGTCTCCCTGGTATATAAACAGGATGAAACCATAACATGCAGATAAAATGACCGACAGGGATTACAAGCCAGCTGGCATGTCATGTTCATGACATAAACGATAACCCTTGTTAAGGTCAAGCTTTGCCTTGAAAACAGAGACAGAAATGTATGCAAGCGTTGCCCCAAACTCATGAAATGCAAATATGTTCAGCTGTGGAGGGATCTGCTCAGGCAAAAAGCACTCTAAGAATCCCCCGCAGAAAATACCCTGAGTCACGGTTGGAATTTTTCTGACATGTACAAGAGCCCTGAGCGAGACAAGCGAAGATCAATAACGTTTAAATATGTACAATAAAATGGTGTGACATCCTATAAATATCATAATCTCAGAAGGTCTTCGTAGTCCTCCTCTATTTATTCTGCCTCTGTCATCGTGTCTGTTTGTTCCCGCCTCCATCTCCAATTCCCTCTTTTCGTCTGATTCTCCGGCTGATCGTCCATGCCTCGCTCACACTTGTTTGCATTCCCAGCATCTTCGCCGCTGTGTACAGCATGTCCTCATTACTAAAACATCAAGCGTGTTGCATTAATGCTCCCTGACAGCCCCGCCTTGGCGTCATTGATGTATGCTTAGCTTGACATTTCTCCAGGATCCCCAACCAAGCGTTCCCCTCATCTCCCCACCGGCCCTCCCTGCACCTCAGGCTGGAATTGTTTGTTTCCATCTGTTTGTGTCTGTCTGTGCTGTGAGTGTGTGTCTGGACTCTGTCCCTCTATGCGCATCCACAGCAGCCCCCTCCCACCAAAAACACCTCACCTTTTCTGCTACTTTCTCGCATTAATACTTTGGATTTTTACCATAATGACGTCAGGGAGCATTAAAAAATCAATCTCAGGTTCAACTCATCCATTGTTATTCATACACCTTCAATCTTACTATGTCCAACAAGCATCAAATATTAAAGATGACAAGATAGTGTGTTCTTATGGATTATGCAAGTCATCTTTCTGTGCTGCTGGGTGAGTTATGTGATAGAAAACTGTCATGGATACTTAAGTGAGGAGAACTCGAGGCCCAGTGGGCTTCATCCATGATAAACGGATTGAGCTGGTTCAGCTGTTCCAGCAAATTTTGGACAAGCCTGAGGATTTCAACCAAAATACACAGTGGATTGTGGATTGTGCAACAAGCAAGGAAGTCATATTTACGATTCGCACAATCTCCTCATGATTTTAAGTGCTGAAAGGCTCACAAATTCTGCAGCGAAGAAGTGCAGAGATGACTTGACATTATCTGTAAGAGGATGAGAGAAAGCAAAGCTCATTCTGTGTGACACAATATCCAAGCTTTCATTTCTAAGAGGTGCACACAACTGTGATCAACAGCAATAACAAATCAGTGCGGTGACAATCAAAGGCTGCTGTTTGCTGCATGACTTGATCCACAGCTATTCCAGCAATCCAAGAAATCCTTCCTGAAAGCAGAGCTGAAGAGAGGCGAACAGCTTTAAAATACTTGGGGAAAACAGTAAAAATTGTAACAAAGAACCAAAGCTGGATTGACAGAAATCTTCAAAGGAATAAAAAATCCTTAAATGGGTGAATAAGTGAGGGCAAGAGGTGCAACACTGAAAGAAGCGGATTAAAAAGGCTGACATTAAAAACGCCTCAATTCTGTTTCCTAATCACAGATATTTCTGTGCGTCAAGTGTAGAATGGAAACAGACAAGGTTGAAAAGTCAGATACAAAGAAGACATGAGCTACCATTTTTCCCCATGAGGAGTTTTTAGCTGATTATGTAATAGACTGAAATCAACAGTGGTGCCTTTTTATGGCCAAATAAACCAACAAGACTGACCTACTTCTGTTTTGTCATTCCTAACACCTGAGGGCAAGTGTCAGACAAGACGATTGACAGCAAAGAAACAGCCTGTTACTCACTTTTACTAAAGGCCTTAATCAAACTTTACATTTGAGACAGTTACCATCACATCTTACTGCAGACGAGAACAATAAATTGACTTCATGAGAACCCCTTTAAAGGGATATTCTGGCGTAAAATTAATTTAGGGTCAAACACAAGGCAACACCAAGTTAGACACCCCCTCAAGAGATAAATGTTGCCAACCACTTGCTTCTGTAGTTATACCAACTGTAGTAACGGCCGCAGGATAGCAATATACAGCAACGTCTGAGGAGCCATAAACAAACTTTAACCAAAACGCCACTCGATAGCCACAAATAATGCTCAGAACAGCAGCTAACTTCATCAACAGTACATATAGGGTCCAAGCCACAGCGGTAGCCACCAAACATCTTTTTAACTTTGCGTAATTTCTTTAGCAAAGAGACTAAACACAACTCACCTACTCTCTTCCAGCAGCCCTTGTTTGTAGCAAGACCTCAGGCCAATCCATTACAGACTGCTGCAGGGGGACGCAAC